CTTGAAAGCTGGCCAGCATGCTGGCCCACGCTGGCCTGCTGCTGGCCTCAACCAGCGTTGGCCAGCTGCTGGAAAATTTACGAACCCTATAATTAACTAACATTTAAAAAAAAATTCTTTGAACGAATTGTAACTCTTAAAAGTCGATTTCTAAACTCATTGCAAACAAAACTTAAATATTAATGTGAGTCGTCGAGTCGTCAAGAAATAATTGTTAATACATTTTTTTCTTATTTAAATGTCTAAATATTAGATGCGATTATTTTTTTAATAGTATATGGAAAGAAGAAAATAATTAGCGAAGTTACCTTGAATAGTAACTGAGTATATTAAGATCTTGTCAGTCAACAAAAATATCAAAACAATCCAACAATTGAATTCGGTTCCGCCTTTTTGTTTCTATCCTTAAGCGTTTCGTTTTATATGATTTCAACTTCTTTTCTTATTTACCACAGGATAATATCACTTTGTGGTTTATTTTTGTTGACATAAATCACTCCATTGTAAAATCAGAGTCGAAGTGATTGTCACTTAGCCAAACACGTTCATTATTCATCAATTTACTTATTTAAAAGCACAAATTTATATCATTCACTAAATTCGTATGATAACATGAACTGTAATGTGCGCTTTTACTTCTCCGTTTAATCAAACTCGAACTTTATTTGTTTCACTCCCTCGTTTCTCAACTGTTCTCAATACTTCACGATGCAAAACATTAGATTATGATTTACTTATGCACTTGTTCCCACACAAGCTAATTATCGCGTGTCAAGAGATTTTTCGACTATTATATAAAAATCTCAATGCGTCTTTCGCTTTTTTTTTTGCTTTCCACTCCTTCTTAAACTCGGTTTTCTTTCACAAACTTGTGTAACACTGCTGGACAGTTTAAGTTTAAATATTTACTAGTGTAACAACACAATTTCTCCGAAGCGAATTTTATCGACACAGTCAACAACAACTTGGGGTTTTTTTCATATATTCTCAGTAACCAACTTTCAAATTATGCAATAATCAAGGTAAGAAAGTCCCCAAAAACATCCTTAATCATCCTTTCACTTTTTTTCTTTATCAATTTACTCTTTGCAGCCTTCTTATTGTTTTTCTTTTTTAGCAACTGTTCAATGTTGCACTTAAGAAAGTTATGCAGAAGAGAAATTATGGGGAACAACAAAAAAATAAAATTTAATAAATGCACTATGCGCGTTTGTTCAACTTTATTTCAACACGTCTGATCGATGTGATTGTTAAGAAGCAACTGAATTACTAAAGCTTGCATGCTTTACCTACTTTTACAACAAGCATAAACGTACGGTTGTCTCGCTCATTTGCTCTTTACTATTTTGTGACTGTGTGTTAAATATGTTGTTTATAATGATAAATGAAGAAGAAATTTCCAGTAGATCATGTTAAGAAAAAAGTTGACGTGATCATGATTGCGAATTTGGTAAGCTACATATCTCAATTTTGACCATTGTAATTTGTAACAATTAAGATTGATACATTTTTTTTGACATATCTAGGAATATTAATCAAATATATCAAATCGATCGCTATCGTATGCATAAAAAATTTCACTGAATTTCGTAATAAATATAATTGAAAGGAAAAAATATTTCTGTGGTAGGATTCAAATTTAGGTCATTCTAAAACAAGCCTTGCAATAAAATCGTGAGTAATACTGATACCGGTGTAACAAGTTTTAGAATGATCGAGTGAAAGTAAGAAACATGCAAAAAGTTGTAAACAAAAAATATGTTAAAGAAATTTTAACGACTTTTTAAAATTTAAATCGAGGGGTCGGGAAAATGTTTTCCAATTGAAAGTAAATTGATGACCTGGAAACATAAAATTATAAAAATTCATAATTATTAAATAGTTCTATTAACTTCGACAATAACCAGCCACTGAAGTAATGAACTTTTTCAAAACCGGACTTCAGAGTGTTCTTGGAACAAATGAATCAAATGAATCCACTTCAAGTGCAGAAACAGTGAGTTTTAAAAATTTTATGTTTTTCATTTTGTTGATAACAATTGATGTTCTTTAGATTGAAAGATTAGTAGACAGAGTGCAATCATCAACCCTTCTAGAAGATCGTCGTGATGCATGTCGAGCACTTAAAGCTTTGTCAAAGAAATACCGACTTGAAGTTGGAGCACAAGCAATGATGTGTCTTGCACAAGTGCTCGAGTCTGATAGAAGTGATTGTGAAATTGTTGGCTATTGTCTTGACACACTGTGCAATATTACATCACCAGAACAATTTGAAGAAGAAGCTGACAATGAACTAGTGTCAGCCAACATAGGAGAACAATTTACTGAAATGTTTATCAAGAACACAGAGAACATCGGTCTAGTGTTGAGTCATCTAGAAGAATACGATTTCCGTGTTCGATGGTCATCCATCAAACTCCTAACATGTTTATTAGCAAATCGTGCTAAAGAAATACAAGAAGTTGTTCTCGTCAGTCCCATGGGAGTCTCAAGATTAATGGATTTACTTGTCGATAGTCGCGAAATCATTCGAAACGATGCACTTTTACTTCTCATTCAATTGACGAAAGGAAATGCAAATATTCAGAAAATTGTTGCCTTTGAGAATGCTTTTGATAAACTTTTCGATGTCATTAATGAGGAAGGATGCAGTGATGGTGGAATTGTAGTTGAAGATTGTTTGATTCTCATGTTAAATTTAATGAAAAACAACACAAGCAACCAGCAGTTCTTCAAAGAAGGTTCATACATTCAAAGAATCGCTCCAATGTTTGTTCTGGGACCAGAAGTTGAAGAGACTGGAATGACACCGCAGAAAGTGTCAAATCTTCATTGTATGCTTCAAATCATTCGTGTGCTTGTTTCACCAAATAACTCACAACAAACGAGTGCGCCATGTAAGAAAATTATGCGCGGATGTGGATTACTTGAAACGTTGTGTAAGATGCTAATGAGTTCTGGAATTCCTCCTGACATTCTCACTGAAACTATCAACACATGTGCTGAAATAATTCGCGGCGATGCAAATAATCAAGCTTATTTTAATGATGTCATGGCACCGAGTAATCCACCGCGACCAGCGTTAGTTGTGTTACTGATGTCAATGGTGAATGAGAAGCAGCCACTCGCTCTTCGATGTGCCGTACTTTATTGCTTTGAAAGCTATCTTTATAAGAATGAAAGTGGTCAGAATCATTTGATTAGCACACTTCTTCCTAGTACACGAGATGCACCAGCGACGTTGACATCAGGTCAACTTTTGTGTGGCGGGCTTTTTAGTACTGACGTGCTTTCCAACTGGTTTTCAGCTGTCGCTTTACTTTATGCTTTAATTGATAATAATGGACAGAAGGAACAACTTTTGAGAAGTCTTTTAGCAACGTCAAGTGGAAGTACGCCAATTTCTCTTCTCCATCAATGCTTCAATCTTCTTCAACAAGGACAATACAAACATCAAAGTAAAATTGGAATTCTCATGTTCCTCAGTATGTGGTTGGCGAATTGTGAAACAAGTGTCAAATCATTTCTCGCTATTAATGGCGCAATTAGTTTTCTTATCGCTCAGATAACTGCCAATGAACATGATGAAAACGAATATTTGATTCAAGGTCTTTGCGCGTTTCTTATGGGAATTTGTATTCAATTTAATGACAATTCAGTGGATGGAAATCGAAAAGATGATTTATGTCAACTTCTTATTAAAAGAATTGGATTGGAGACATTTTCTGGGAAGTTAAGTGAAGTTAGCAAGCACGAAAGTTACAGCAAAGCTGGAAAGCAGCCACAAATTCGAGTGAAACAAGCTTCGGATCTTCTACTTGATTATGAATTTTGTAGATTGTTCAAGACGTTAGAAGGTGAGTTGACTTCACTGTTCCAATGGAAATTTAATACTTTTTTAATTTAATTATTCACAGCATCAATACTGAAAGTCATAACAAACTTTTCCAATGGAAATGAATCAATAAATGAGTTGACGTTGAGTCAAGAAGCGTCAAGTTTAGTTGCACAATATAAAAATATTATTCGTGAGCAAGATGGAAAACTTCAAAGTTTAAATGAAAAGCTTCGAGAGTTTGAGCAGAAAAATGAAATTTTGACGGTAAGTTGTTTAAAATTTAAAGTAAATTCGCATCTCTGTTGTTATGAAATTAATTACTTATTTAACTTAATAAAAAAAATTGTATTACAGTCGAAATTATCCGAAACAATGACATCAATGAGTCACATCAACGATCAAAATATTTTATTGAAAGCACAATTGTCTGCGGCAGGTGCTGTTGGAGGGGGAGCAGTTAACACACAAATAACGCCATCAGATGAAAATCGCTTTCAAGTTGATCAGCTACAAAACCAAATTCAAATGTTGATGAATGAAAATTCACATCAAAAGACGAAAATTAATTTTTATGAGTCGGAAAATTCGAGACTTTTGAATGAAATTGAAGAGATGAAAGCAGTTGACAATAACGTTAACATAATTAAATCAGAAAACTCTGAACTTTCTTCCAAAATTCAATCAATGACAAAAGACCAAGAAGACCTTTTGGAACTGTTGGCTGATCAAGAGTTGAAACTCAAACAATACAGGAGAAAATTGCGGGAACTCGGTCAACAAGTTGAAGCATCAGATGATGATGAAAATTAATTAATTTCTTTTCCACTTCTTAGTTTATAAATCCATTTTATGCTTAAGTAAAAGTTAAATTGTAATGTAATAAATTTCAATACCAAGAAGTTTTATTAATCGAGAATTTATTGTTTTACTCTTATTGATGAATTTGACGACTTTATTCATCACATTGACGATGTGAATTGTCAACAATGCTATTTAAAATTCTTCCCAACAATTGTTTAAATATCCCAAATTACTTACAGTTCATCCCACACATGTGATATTTCAATCAATCTAATGTTTGATCGATCATTAAAATCTTGAGTCATAATTTTGTTGTTTTTATTTAACCCAATAATTGAAAATAGTTGTTAAGTCGCATTAAGACTTTTTTATCAGTGACGTTAAATATGATAAATTAGAATTGTGTAAAAAACAACATTCAGCAAATTTTCGCAAGTCGAATTTGGTTCTGTCATAAAAATCGAAAGATTCAATTAAAACAACATCAAAATTTCTTTTCTAAACAATCGAAATTAATTAACAAGAATAAAAATAAAGAATTTCAACGAATTTTTAGGCAAGAAGGAGGAAAATATTTGAGTAGATATAAAATTTTACATCTACAAAAAACATTCCTTTGGTGAGTATTCACAGGTGGCATTTTGCATGTATTCTTGTTTCGCTTAAATACATTGAAGCAACAAGTCGTTAACAAACGATATGAATGAAATGGAATGGAAGAGTTCAAAACGCTGTAATTTAAAGTTTCTTTCTATTCAGTTGTCTGTTGAATCTCCCATCATAAGGTTGTCGTTTAATTGAAGTTTAAGAATGGAAGCAATTTGAATAATAATAAAAAAAAAGAAAGTGTGAACATAATTACAAGAAAAACCTTTTTAATAAGGAGTTAACAAGGTAATGTGATTGGGAATGCTAACAAAAGATCAAAAGACTACTACAGGTGATGTTTTGTGTGAAACAATCTCATTTAAAGACCCAAAATGGCACCATGCCAAATGTCTCAAGATATTTATTTGTTTCTGAAGTATAACGAACGGTTTTTATTTATTCTCAAAGTCAACTTTCAAAGACAGTAACAATATCTGTTTTATGATCGCAATGAAAACAAAATATGGGACATGCAAAAAGAGCTTATGGCGTTTTCGGAAACATTAATGACGACGCGTAACATCAATTGTATTGACTCTGTTGAAATTTAAAAGATCTTATAAGGAAGGAAACCTGTTTTAGATACATTAAATAAATTCAAGCAATTGCATTCTCTAAATAATCACAAACGATGACAGTTGAAATGCATAATAATGATTGAGAAAATATCTCAACTTCCTGATTAATTTTAATTAATTTATAAAAGGCAAGTAACGAATTTATGTCTGTTTGAGCGATTTAATATTTAAGAGTCTTTTTCTCAGCAATACAATTGTGTAAAAAATAAGGTTTTAACGTTCAGAGAGGAGCATATATTTATGTGTAATGAGTATAAAGATCACACTAACACATTGAAAGGATAACATGTGGATAACTATGTTTTATTAATGCTTCCGAGTCTCTCACGTTTCTTGAGTGCTTTCTCTTCTCTTCTCTTTCTCATTGTTGTATTGTATTTCACACCAAATCTGAAGCTAGAGATTCACCCTCGAAAAAGGTTCGATTTGCCGTTGATGATTGTAAAGAGTGAGAGAAAAATTTTGAAGCAACGAGAACGAGGCTTGTTAACGACTTCAAACAGCTGTAAGAAAGAATGCGTTAGTCAGTCACTTAAGAACAACGTTTTTATTTGTGAATAATTTGAAATTCCACAAAAAAGAGAATTTTAATTAATTTTGTTTTCTTTTGTGGTCATGTGACTTGTGAATAATGAATGAAAAGTAATCACAATAGTTGGGAATTTTCGAAAGTGAAAATAAAAGAAATTAGATTAAGTTAAAGCGCTTGTTTTGACTGTATACAAGAAATAAATTGAAAAGCGAAAATGAAAAATAATTACAAGCAGTTGTTGTCTAAATCGCCAAGCGAATCGTCAGTTTTCAAGCGATCAGCAAGTCATTCGTTACGATCATCGTTTCGGTTACCTAAAAAGCGTAGTAATATTCATGCTACAACTTGCAGTAATTCGTTGCCTTTATTTGTGCCACCCAAAGCAGCTGCAATATTAGAAATTAATTTACCACCTACAAACCTCAAACCTTTAAACAAAAACATTGAATTAAGTCAGCTACCTGACACCATGAAAGTTGCAACGATTCGAAAACGATCAGTATGGGCAAATAGTTCAGCAAGTAAGCTCTTCACACAAGCAAACCTCAGCAAAACAATAAAATCTCATTAGATTAACTGACTAAGCAAGAATAAGGTGTTTTAATGTTCATTTATTATTCTATTTTAGAAATCAGCTTACCATCCTACCTTGAAGATGATCATCAACAGAATTTACCTGCAATAACTCAAAACATGATGCAAACAAAAAGAATAAACAATAACAAAAATATGTCACAAAGCAACAGCTCAGATAATAGCGATGGATCAGGAATACTCAGGGAAATTAATAAAAATACTTCATCATCATCCGAACAGTTTAAATTGATCAAGAAACATAAATTTGGGCACGCAATGAAGAAGCCTGAAGGTAACATTTTAAGTGGTGCGTGTTTAAATCTCGAAATTAGTTTTATTAAATTTAATTTAAAATGATTTTTCAGCAATATTTGAATGCATTGAAAATGATCAAGTTGATCAATTGAAAGAATTATTGGAGAAGAATGGAAAATCAGAAATTAATTCAACAAACAGCGATGGATTCTCGTTTCTTGACGTCGCCGTTTTATTAGACAATCATCGAATGATTAAAATTCTCCTCGAGCATGGCGCCAAAGAAGGAAATAATTCTCATGAAAATATTGAAACAAATTTAAATTCATTGATATCTGCTTTGGAACAGAGACTTTGCCAATATTCAACTTCAACATCGTCGTCATCTGTGATGCATGACAATGAGAAAGAGAAACCGCAACTTGATAAAAGAATAAAAGTTTTGAGGAAAATGCTCAACGGTTGGCTGGGTTTGAGAATTCCTGACTCACCATTTTCATTCTCTGTCGGTATGTATGAAAATTTTAATTGAATCGAATAGTTTTGAGTTTACAATTCCCACCACCAGATGTCGTCGGAACAACTTCAGTATTAATTAAAATTCTGCAACCAATTGAGAACTTTATTTGCACGAAAATTAAAGGTAAGAATTTAAAATTAAAATTATTAATTAAATAAATAATT